GGTTCAGTGGCTGGGTAGAACAAAAACATGACATAGAAATGACTTGTTGACTCCAGATCCCCCATCTCTGCCCTGAAGGTGCGAATTTCAACTCTGGCCTTCTGGGAGGTTCTGTCTTGTTATTGGCTAATAAAACGCTGAACAGTCATACTAGCAGCCTACATGAGGGACTTTTTACCCCCTAGTTTAACAGCCATTTTTTACTCTGTACCTTTATTATGTCCTATGTTTCCTTTTTCATCTCTTATAACTGTTTATATGTTTTTTCTAAGCCTTTTTGTTAGTGTGATAACACTGTATGAGTTTAACCTTTTTTTTTATTTGTTATGCAAAGACAGATGTGTTAAATTCATAGATTTATCATTTTACCTCAGCTTCAAAAAGCTGCACAGCTTTCTGTTGGTTTATTACAAGAAATACCACTGAAGAAGTGTAACTTCCCTTAATTTAGGCAGATTAGTTGGATAATTTACCAACGGAAAAAGATAATTAACAGTTAAAATAAGGAAATGGCTTCTCTGTTATTTTAACTGACTGACTAATGACTCTAATAATCTTATTTGAAGGGCAACAATATTCATTCCTATAGCAGATCATCTTATCTACCTGCTTAAATTAAGGGCAAATAAACTTACTTTAAGAAATCTTTGCTGTACATACAGAGAAGTGGTTGTCAGGCTAAGAGATGTGACAAAAATTCTTCAAGGATCTGTATGTCCCTAAATATTCATATTTATACTTTTTTTATTTCTATATCCTTAATTGAATGCATGTTCTTATGCATGTGTTTATGTTCGTGGCAGTTGAGAACCCGGACCACTCAGACTTCCTGCTGCTGAGGAACATGCTGGTCAGGACGCATATGCAGGATCTAAAGGACGTGACACGGGAAATCCACTATGAAAACTACAGGGCGCAATGCATCGAGAGCATGACCCGCTTGATGGTACAGGAGAGGAAACGCAAGTAGGTGGAGCCAGGATCGACACTAGGATGGAGAAATTCATTGCATATTTTGTCCTTACCAGCATGTCTCTTTTAGTTTGCGTGAGAAGTATCGAGAAGGAAGTGAGGTGGACTTCCCTCTGCCGCTCGCAGCAGCTGAGACAGAGATGGAGAGACAGATTTTTGAGAAGGATGAAGAAGTGTGTATCTATCTATCATTCATCCATCTGTCCCTCTGAATCCAGGGGTTCTGTAATCATCCTGCCACTTTTTTCTCTTCTGCTCTGCAGCTGAGGAAGATGCAGGAGGTGCTGGAGAGGATTCAGGAGCAGATGCAGCAGAGCCAGAGGGACAGCTGCTGATTCCTTTAGACTAACATCAGGGAACAGAGGAGCAAACAGAGACTAAATGCTCTGCAAACTGACCTCACAGTTAGAGGCTCACATAAATGGAGCTAAAACATTTCAGTGGACCTATCTGTGGAATATGCACAACTGCATATGAGCTCAAACCTTGGCTTGTGTTCATGTTAAGAGAAGTGATGGTTTGTTCCAGTGTTTGTTTGTTTTTTAACTATATTAATGTCTTTATATGTTATCTGGAGAAAGTAGATGCTCTGTTTTATAATTTTGTGAAAAAAAAAACGAGAAAAAAACTGATGCAGCAGGATAAAAAGAGCAAGAGGTTAATTGATTTGCAGATTAAAAGGGCTGCACTACAAAGTAAGTTCGACACAGATATGTTTACTCCTTGACCAAACCTAAAACTCCTCCAAAAAGATAACAGGTAAAAACAACAGTAGTCATCATTTTATCTGGTTTTATCTTCAGGATTTAAAAAGTGGTGGAGCCAGGGCATTTTCATAAGGTTAAGCCAGCGACCCATGTACACTGAAAGCTGCCTGAAACTAATAGGCACCAAAACCTGCTAAGATTCCCTCTAACTAACTACAGCAGGTAAATCAACATGAGCACAGCAGCCATATTTTCCAATCAAATCACTGAGTATGGTCCAGATTTTTAAAAATCCGTTCTAAAAATAACTCTACACACACATTATTACATCATCTATATTATTTCCAAAATAATAATTTGTAACTCTGCATAATAGACACATTAAATGTGTTGAGCAGTTGTTCTCTAATTCCATAGTAAACCATAGAAAACTTTCCCTCTTTTCTCATTAAAGCCCAAAACCTACCTCTGAACAGAACATAAATTAACTGTTTTTCATCTCCAATATAATTATATCGATGTGCAAAATTTTTGTATTTTATAGTCAGTATAGGGTTTATACTAACAATCAAAATGTCAAATTAATTGGGACATTGAATTAATGGGTATCACTGCTGCCACCATATGGCAATGAGGGGAACTGCTTGTTGAAGTGGTGATAGATCACTTCAGTGCCTTACTAATACCTGTTAGTATGAATGTAGATCTGTGGATCAGAAATGTAAAGATATTTAGTGGCTAGAGGCTACAGTTAAGATATGAAGGGTGCAGAAAAGCTATTTTCCAAACACATATGTAAAGTCTGTAGTTCAATTAAATTCAGTTTATTTCTATAGCACCAATTCACAACACGTCTTCTCAGTGCACGTTACAATTCAACCAGATTATACAGTCAAATAGATTTTCCTATCTAAGGAAAACCAGTTTATTGCATCGACTCATTGACTCAAAGGCAATCCCTCACACTATAAGCACTACTTGCAGCGACAGTGGAGAGGAAAAACTCCCTTTTAACAGGAAGAAACCTCCAGCAGAACCAGACTCAGTGCGAACGGCCATCTGCTGAGGCCGACTGGGGTTCAAGGAGACAGAAACAGAGATACAAAAGGCAACTGTAAACCAGCTCCACAGGCGGCCCTGTCCAGGAAACACACAGCCAGGCAGACGAGCTGCAAGCCAGCTCCCATGTCAGAGGATGAAGAGAGCACTTCCAGCCAGTCACAGTCAGAGAAACAGGACTACGCTGAAAAAAACAGGCCGATCTCCAACATCTATAAACAAAGGAGTTGATGGCAGCAGCACAGCTGATATTTCTCTCCATGATGGAGTCACAGCCAAACAGGAACAGACCAGATGAAGCTACTCTGAGAAAAAGCTGTTCTTTACTTCAAAGTAAAACTTTTTGGCATAAGTAAGATTCGGAACTAAATATTTGTAGTCAGTGATTTTATACTCTGATACAATGTGCATTCAAAATGTATTGCAGTATTAGAAATAAGCACTACTTTCTGATCTGCTTTACTCCAGCAGGTGCAAAGCATGAAGAGGGGTCAGACAGGTGATTTCAGGATGTAATTCACAGCTTCCAGAACAAGCAGTTCCTTTTTTAAACCAGAAGGTGGCAGCAGTGATGCACTCAGGTGGAACGTCCTAGTTAAATTAACAAAGTAATTGTTAGCATGTTAAACATAAAGTAACAAAAAATAAACAATAGTTGATTTCTCACATCAGTTAACTAAAATCAGGGATGAAAAATAGATCAATCATGCTGTTTTCGGAACTAGTTTTTGTGTTTCATAGGGGACGAGGAAAGTGTTTCTGCAAGTCACCTAGGAATTTCCGTTTTGGCCCCCTTCACGTTTTACTGTCCAAAAACAATGTTACGCTACAGTACACAGACATTCGTCGAGCACTAGGACCAGGCGGAAAACTCAAGCTGAAGCCCATTTCCCTGAGTTTAGACTAGGGATGTAAATCACACCCATCATGGCGATTGGATTCAGTATCGATTTCCTGACCCAACGATTCAGTTATTTTCGATACTCAAGAATACACCACGAAATACTTCCACACAAATGACGTGTGTGGTGTGTAAGTCATCTTTTTCCTCCGCCATGTCTGTCTTGCCTACTGTTTATGCAGGTGTGTGTGTGCAAGAAAGATGGTAGCAGTAGGGAGGTAGGAGGGCAAAATAGGATTAGCGCCACCGCAGCATGGGAGTGAGAAATTACGTCCAGGAGCAAATGGATAAAAATAGACCGGAGGGGGAAAAAAAGAATCGATACTCTTGCGGACGTTACGATGTATTGGATCGTCGGCCGTTGGATCGATCCATCAATACAAAACGATTATTATTTACACCCCTAGTTTAGACCCCCCAAAAGCTTCTTATTGGCCGTCCGTCTTTTCTTGTGTGATTGCCTGTCACCACTGTCACTCCTGAGATTCTCACTGAATCAAGCACAGGCATAACTTTCTGAAGGACTGTTGTGGACATGTCTCCACCAACTTTGGCCTGGTGGGGACAGTCCCCTCCAATTATATCAATACAAAGACTTTGGCAATATGTGGGACAAATTTCTAAATTTGATTTTGCTGCATTTGAAGGAGGATATTCACATGTAGCTGAAAAGGGAAAACATCCATTAATCCATCCACATTTTTCTGGATGGATTGATGGATGGAATTAATCTGAAATTGTGTGCAGACTAGGAAGGCATGATATATTGCTGTTGCATTGGAATTGGCTGTTATTCATCTTTTTTTATATAAATATACATTAATGTCTAAGTACCTATAAATATATAAAGGAGAACCATAGGAAAGCATTCAATAAATATATGTTTGAGCTAATTTTTGGAAAATACAAACCCTTTTGAAAGCGTCTGTGTCGAGTAACTGAAGGTCCATCAGTCCCCACCCTAAGACTGTCCCCACCAACTTTCATCTCAAAGTTACACCCTTGGAATCAGTTTTTTTTTTGTGTTCTCACGCTGTGGTTTTTTTTATTATAAAAAATACTTGCTTCCCCACTTGTGAAATCAAAATTTCCTCCATGATCAAGACCATCCTACCTGCTCTTCTGCTACGGCTAAAAGAATCTCCCAGATACACTCTGGTCTTATTTCTTTGGCGGCCTTCACCTTCTTCTCATTAGGTTTGATTCCAATTCTCAGACACTTTTTAAAAATACATTAAAACAGTTGAGTTTCAATTAAACCGAAGCTACCTGAAATCAGCTTTGGGTGATCATATTTCTAAGGTTGGCATGTTGGAAATCCATTGAATTCGAAGATTTCCTTGGATCTCAGAGCCAAAAAGGTCGGCCACTTCTCCTTTAATTTACACACCATGCATATATATTTATTTATCAGCAAGGGCTTTGGGAGAATCTAGCTTGTCTGAAAATACAGATTTTGTATCATTCATTATACATTGAGTCCATATTGATCACTGCCTAGCCAATGAAAAGTCTCGCTCCGCCCCTGTACTCCAGCAATGTTTGTTACCATGGTGATCAAATGGAGCCACGTATTTGTGCAGCAGAGATGTGGCTTTAGGTTAAACATAGCCTTCTAAGCTGTTAATGGGCTTTGTTGTACAACTCTTATGTTGCTTACTTCTTCTGCATGCTGTTGTCTTAAACTACAATCATTGCATTGCTTGTTTGTTAGAATGGCACAATACTCCCATCTAGTGGTCAGCATGTAGAATTTTTTATTTGAACTATTTTTATTAGTGAAACTTCCATTTTCTATGTTGTTTATTGTTTTATATGCTCATAAAAAATTCAATTACAAAACCTTATTGTTTTTTCTGAAACAAAATCAACAGACAAATGTGTTGTAAATGTAATAAGATTTATTAAGAATCTTTTTTTTAATTTTCCATCAGCATAATTCTTCATTATTAATATGTTTTTTTATTCATTTTCATTATCGTTTATTTTCAACAGTGGACAGTGAGATCTAAAAGGCAGCCCAAAGTGTACAGGCGATATAACTTTAACTTTCTCCATAGGGAAAACATGTTTTTTTTTATATTTCATATATAATATCAATGTAGCATGAGGTCCAAGATTCTGCCCACGTTATACAGTATTGTACATGGTCCCGAGAAAAACAAAACATTAAAAGGTATTTTTCTTTTAAAAGATAAGGAACTGAACTGCAACCTACATGCAAAACAAAAGAAATCAAGCGTTTAGGAGGCATACACTCATATGCTGAAACATGCGTACGATCACAAGGCTACAAAACTTCCATACATACAAATATTAAAAAACTCCATTTCATTATTAGACATTATTATTTTATCCAGAAAAGATTAACAGGATTTTTTCCTCCTTTTTTTTATTTTTCCACTCAGCATCACAGTCCAATTAAAAAAAATAAAAAATAAAATAAAGAATTGTCGGAAAAAGACATAAATCCTCCGTTCACTCAAATACGCGTTTAGCCAGAGTTGTCACAGTGTTCAGGGAAACTGAGTATAGGCACGCACGATACCATTCAAACAGGCGCATCTCATAGATCTGTGTAAAAAAATAACCTGCTAACAGCTACACACACACACACAAACATACACACATCATGCATGGGGCAAACGGCACAACCGACAAACAGCCATGCTACAGGTACAGTAGGATTAATCATAGCAGAGAATATATAAAACATATAGTCACATTTACAGTCATAATGCAGGGAGAGATTAACATTAATGAGAGACTGATGCGTTTAGGCTGGAAGTGTTTGTGCACAAAAACCTTCAAGGCAAAACGCGCACTAATTTAATCACGTATGGGAATCGCAACTTCATAATTATGCTAAATTTAAACAAAAAAATTTTTTTTCTAATTATTTGTAATCTAAAGAAACACAAATTGATTTAGTTTTAAAAACTAAATGATGGATATTTTCTGCAATCTTCAATTGAACAGCTGTTTGATGGGGAAAAAGAAAATATTTGGGACTCTTGAAAAGGTTCAGTTTCCACTGATATTTGAGCCCAATTATCAGAGCTGAAAGGAGTGCGTCACGCTCCAAGGCTATGGAGCTCCAAAAGTGCCTCAAATTCAATCTAAAAAATGAAACAGTAACAAAAAAAATCATTTATTCCTTAATAACTTCATTCAATTGTGGCACTCATGGCTCTCAATGCAAGCTCTGCAGTAATGCAGCAGGGGGCGCTGTTCTAACAGCCAGCAACTCAAACAGGTTGGGGGGTTGAGATCAGAGGGAATGTGTTAAATAGGGACAGAGGCTTTTCCTGGCTGCTGTATAGGAGGAGGGCATATTTCATCTGATCAAGCATGTTTCCTTTCTGATGTTTTAGTTCAGGAACTTCAGATTTGGGTGAAGCTGGAGGACATGAGGGGATAAAAAATCATGACGGGATTAAAAAAAAAAAAATGTATCAAGTTTCTCCTCCTCATTAGTGCGGAGGCTAGTATAACAGCGCATGACGGCTTTACCGTTGACTGAATGACAGGATGAATGGGGATAGGAAGAGTCAGATGCCTGAGTGTGAGCTGGGAATATTGTGTTAGTGCTTCTGGTTGCTGAGGAAAGGAATTAGGAAGGAAGGAAGGAAGGAAGGAAGCGGAAAGGTCAAACTAAATTCCTAGCTTTGCAACAAAAGCAAATGTCACAGCCTTGTTTTCTGAACCCAGGGAGTCTGCAGTGATGTTTCTGTCAGCAGGGCTGTTAATATATAAAAAAAAAAAAGAAAAAATCACAGCGTTTCTCATCACTACACGTCCAAAAACCAACTGCTGTCAGAAATGATCTGAATCCAGATTTAAAAAAAAGAATGTCTGAATCCATCTCCCCTCTCCGTTTGGTCCGTTTTCCTTTTCTAGGCCAGTTTGAGCGTGCTGACGGGGAAGGATGGGACTGTAACCATGGTAACGGGGTTAAGGACAGCAGCCTGCCCGACCAGCTGAGGGTGCGGGGCCAGCACCGCCGTGGGTTTCCCCAGCGATTGGCTCCCCTGGCTCACCACGGCTGTGCTGTTCACCTGCGCCCCGTTAGTGTTAGCTTGAGGGCCGGCCTGGACGTGGGGCAGGGCGTGGTGGGTGAAGGTGTGGGTGATGTGGCCCACCACCGTGGGGTGGCTGACGGGAACCCCCTGGGGGTAGAGAGTCGGGAGGTGGGATGTGAGGGGAGCCCCCAGGTGAGCCACCGGGTGGACAGTGATGTGTCCTATGGGCTGAGCTATGTGCTGGTGAGTAGCGGTGACTGGTGCCGCCGCCGCCGCTGCGATGGGCTGAGGGGTGGAGGAGGCAGGACGAGGAGAGGGGGCTATGTGGGTTAAATGTTTGTGATTGGCAGGAAGGGTGTGACTGACAGAGTGGATGACTGACGGGTGTGAGACTGCGGCGTGAGCGATGACGGTTGGCTGGACCTGAACGGTGGGAGGTTGAAGGGGAAGCTGTGGGTGAGGAGGGGGGCCAGCGGGGGGAGCAGGGGCGATGGCTTGAGGGGGAGGAGGTCCAGAGGGAGCGGGCGTGGTGAGGACTCCAGAGAGAGGTAGAGTGGCGTGCTGGATGGACAGGTGCGAAGCCAGGAGCGGCTGGGCCTGTAAGATGTGGGGTGCTGGTTTAGGGAGGGCTGGGACAGCAGGACGGGCGGCGGCCTCCTCATCTGTGTCCTGGTCGTAGTTGTCTTCGCCCTCTGAAGGTCAGACACAACACTGTTAGCTATCATGAAGTGAAACGTTGCACAGCTACAGAATCAGGAACAGTTAGTGTTCCTTAAAAAGTTTTCACACCTTTCGTTTTTCCACATTAGATCTTTACACTTCGCCGTCTTTGAACAGGATTCTATGTAATTAATTGATCAAAACAATATGGAAACTACATGGTTTTTAAAGGTGAGACAGGATCTAAAAGTCAATATAGCAAGTAATTACATCTGTTGGAAGAAAAGCATCCCCATGGCATGATGCTTCCACCACCATGTTTTACCATTGTTGTGGTGAATCCGCTGTTTACTCTTCTCCAAATATTGCATTTCATTCAAGTTTTAGAGAAAAATCTTTAGTACTAATGCACTATAACAAACCTTTTAACGAATAGCTGTATTAAACTGCATTGCTGCTTTTTTAATAAACATTTTTGTGAAGCAGTCAACACAGACAGCACTGCTCTAACGAAAAAAAACAAACAGAAACAAAATTAAATGTAATTTATCCTTTGCAAAAGTAAAGGACTACTAGCCTGGTCAGCCAGTCTGACTTACACAGGCCGTAAAGTCAGTCTGGTAAGGCTAAAGATTCTCCAGTCTAAAAGAGGCTGGACCAATCAGAAGCACAGGAGAAATGCCAATAATGCAAATGAGCGTCTCTGTCACTAAGAGTCAAGATGGCAGCCGAAACCAAGCGTATTTCAATGAATTATGTCCTGAAAGAGATTTTTTTTTTCTTACAAAAATGTGTTTTCTGCATCAAATCCATTTAGTTTAAATCCGGTTCCTGTCATTGGTTCCACCCGCTCATTTCCAGACTGACATGCCGTGTGAGTTGTGTTGACTGAGCTGGTGGACTACACCTGGCAACACTGACCTGAAGCGGTAGAGGTGGAGGCCTGGTCGTCCTCCGGCTGGATGGTCTGTCTGAGGACTCTGTCGATCTCCATGACATTCATGCTCTGGCTGAGCTCGTTCTTCAGCTCGGCCAGCCGCTGCTGCGTGGCGATCTTCTCTCTGGCCAAACGCTCCATCTCGTGTTCAAACTCCTTCTCCTTACGTTTCAGGGTCTGTTAGGGGAGAAACACACGAAAAAGGGCATGTAAAATAAAATTATTTTTTAAAACGTTATAAAGTCAGATCTGTACTAAAACAACTAAAAAATAACTGAAGCTGTTTAGATCAGGTCAACATTGAAGCATCACTTACAAAAAGCCAAAATGTTATTGATTAGTGCGGAAAAAGCTTAACATCTGATTAATGGAAATATTGTTTTTTTACTAGGTAAATATAAAGTGGCAATAAGTAGTGCTAGTCTTTTCTTTCTAAAAGGAAATTAAAGCTACACAGAAAAGAAAAATTTATTTTAAAAGGTAACTATGGCACCTTATTTTAGTGTGGATGTGCAAAAAAACAGAGCTTTAGATCCCAACCCTGAGTCAGAGGAAACAGCAGGGACGTCATTAGAGCTAAACACATCTCTGTTGTCCCCTTTGAGCCACCATAATCAGGTAAACAAATGGTTGTCATAGTGATGTGACACTTATTATTGTTAATATTAAATTGTTATTTAATGTTGCATGGGAGAACATTTCTGTTTCTCTCAGATCCTAATTAGCTAAAGTAAAAAAAAGAAAAAGCTAAAGCTTAATTTCTGAGGTTTTAGAGCTAAATCTACTGTTTCTAGAGGATCCATAGTTTTTAAAAGCCATGAAAAACTGTGAGATAATTAGAAGATACACCGGAAAAGTTACACTTTAAACAGAAATGTTTTAGTTCTATTGTGGTTTTAATTTAAAAAATGTAGCTTGGGTTTTCTGTAGGATTATTGAACATAGAGTAATACAGCATTCCTTGTCATCAGCATTTTTGCTGCACCCAGCTGGTCAGCTTGCTGAAAGGACTCTACTACGCTTTTTACAAATCAGCTTAATTCCACAATTAGGAAAAACTGTTGAGTAGATAGAGAGAAAGCAGTCCCCGGTACTTTGGATGCAACTCTTCCTCACCTTTATCTCCTAACACTGTTTACTTTCATTATATAAAGATTTTGTCACTATGTTTTGGTTTTGTGTTATTTTAATTAGATTTTTACAAAACATTTAGCCTAGTTTGTGGTTTAGACTCTTGAAATGGTTTTACCTCACAATAACAATAAAAATAGACATTAGTTAGTTAATCGGTGTTTATTACACTGGAAAAACTATATAGAAATATGTAAAAAATGTCTTAAATTAAGTTTATCTACCCATAATTTGATCAGGTAAATTGGATTATTTGTAAATGGAATTAGTATTTTTACTCTTAAAATAAGGTATTTAGATAATATGCACTTGAAATAAGACAATGCAAATGTGTTTTCTTATTTTAAATGTAAATTATCTTGTTCTATTGGCAAAATGTCTCTTTTACCTCCTCAATATAAGAACAAATGCACTTATTTTAAGAAAAAAATGACTATCTACATTTTTATTTTTTTCCCAGTGTAGCTGCTGTAAATTACTCTTGCGTTTTTAAAATAAAATTTACTTCCTGTTTGGGCTTTCATTCTTTGGCATTTCTCTTATTTCTGCCACCTGCTGGACAGAACTGTAGTGCAGTTATCTTCAGAGCTCCATCATTCGGCATTAGGGTAATATTTATTAAAAATATAAACAAGAGGTTAAACAGATCCTTTCAGTAAAAAACTCAAATACATACTGTTGCTTGTTCCTTTGCTGTTCAAACATCAAATTTCTTATGGTTTATTTTAAATTGTTGAAAAACTATTTTCCCTGAGAAAAGTAAATATGCAGATCACTTTGTCATTAGAAAGACTTCTGGCCAAAAATGTTCCAGTTTACTTTTTGGGGAGGGGTGAGGAAAATGAAAAGCTTTCCAGCCCCAAATACTCCGTCTGTGTGACCCAGTTTCTGCCCGTTTCAAATGACGTCAAACCAAAAATAGCGTGACAAGCTAAGGACATTAACTTAGATTACAAGTGAGGACCAAGAGATGGAGGGAGGGGTAATGGGGAGGTTAAGGAGGGGATTTATGTTTACGTCCGCTCCTTTTCATCGTATAACATCTGAAACATTTTCTGAACTGTGTCAAAAGACATAATGAAGAAAAATGAGAGCATGTAAAAAAAAAAAAAAAAAAAAAGATGGGTACATTTTATTTATACAACAGGAGAAAAGCAGTTTATGTAATGGCCTTTCACGTGAGCCCACATTCCTCTCTGCGCCATTCACCCCTCCCCTCTTGCTACCATCCATTTGGGCACGCAGGAGCACCCCATCTCTGAACCGCTCAGCAACTCTAATCCTACTTTTCACTGTTGCTCACAGAAATCTCTCAAGGGCAGATTTAATGATGGTGATAAAAACCAAACAAAGAAAACAACTTTCCAACATAGTGGGGCTCTTTGACATTAACCAACAGGTCGCCTTAAATCAAGCTTAAATTAGAAAAAGGCAACTTTCTCCATGAGATTTTGATGCCTTTATATTTACACACAGGCACATTATAAGGGAATCTTAACCCCTACACATTTTGATATTTTTTCCATTTCCATTCAGGACCTAAATACAATACAGTGCCTTAGGAAGTAATAAAATGTTCTGTTGAGTCCTTGTTTTTAATAAAGTATAAAACCCAGCTCTGGTTCAGAGATAAAGTAATTATTAAGGTAGGAAAAATGAGGTGTTTGGCTCCACCTCAGGTGGGATAACTTTTTGTGCCGTATTTTCGCGACTTTTCGCGACTAAGGCGCATATAAACGTCTTTTTTTCCCTCAAAATGTGCGGCGCGCCCTATGTGTGTTGTTACTGCAGACGTTGTTGAGACCGCCATGAGAACGTTAAAGGGGGAAGTGTTGCCGTGGATTGGCTGCCACGCAAATGGACAGGTGATTTTTAAGCGAAAGATTTTGCCTAAAGAGACTTTTCCAGCTGGAGTCGTTATTAAGGCAAATGAAAAGGGCTGGATGGATGAAGAGATGATGAAAGCGTGGCTGAGAGAGGTGAATGTAAGGAGACCAGGTGGTTTTTTTCCACGCATCACCATCGCTGTTAATCTGTGACTCCATGTGTGCCCATCTCACAGCTGATGTGTAAAACA